CGAGGTAAAATTATTGAACCTGAAGGGGCTCTCATCCATGACTATTCCCAAGGTCCCAACCCCTACATAGTCACTGTAGCAGGATATACATGTAGGCTTTTCTAATGTGCATTAGTAATTTTCGCAGAATTCTATCCAGGTGGTGTGTGGAGTTATTTGATGCATCTACGTTGACAGGGACCTTGAGCTATTGATTCAAATAAATAGTTATGTTTTCACACGCCGTACGTGTAGTTTAAACACCAATTTTAAGCATATTGTGCTTACCGTATTTGTAGGTAGCTTACCGTATTTGCAGCTTACCGTATTTGCACAGAATTTGCATAAAATGTTTTTATTCATACACTAACTCCAATAACACAAATTTTTGTATTTACAAATAGAAATACCGTACATGTGAAATCTATTTTCACACATTTAATGAATTAATAAAAATAGTTTATTTTATTTATCTATTTTTAACATAAATTTAACAAATAATATATGAGTCCAGTATGTTGCAAACGTGTAAATCGTTAAAAAAATAAATATGCAAGAATAAAATGCAAACTAAATAAATAACAGATAAATTTTCAACCTGAGGCCTATGCGAACAAAGTTTCCTTAAAACAGATTCGCCTCCTCACTGTTAGTGCTTGAGATTTAATCTGAGCATCTATTTCTCAAGATACAACGACAAAACCCGTAGAATCTGAGCACCACAGAAACTATTCCGACGAACTAATACAGTGTTTGAACAATATCACAACGACTTTACTGGATAGATATGCGTATGCAAGAAATCAAGACCTTACTGGACAAAGACATAGACAGAATATGTAGGGGACGTTTTTTCTGAATAGTGAGGAAGAAAGCGTTTTCTTTTCTTCTTTTGTGTAAATTGCTGGAAACTTGAGATTTAATATAGCATAAACCTGCCATTAACTCGACGGCAATTAACATTGGAGTCACTTCAATTTCTGGGAGTTTTGGAAGTTTCAAAACTCAAAAGTCAGGTTGAGAAAGTAAGGACAAAAATTGCAAAACGTGGGCTCTCTGCAGGGGCCAATTTTTTGCTTCGTTCGATTCGATATTTGTGTACACAGGTCGCGCCCACACATAAGTTCAAGATTTGCACCCCCTGAGCACGCACGTGGAGAGAGCATCTATACTACACATGATTACACCCTTCCAATGTACCACCATATTTAAAGTGATTCTTGCTTTCTTCATTTTCCTGTGTGGGACAAAAGCTATTTTCCCACATAAAACCATCTTCCAATTGTCAACTTTGAGCTCCAATTTCTCATTCACCCAAGTTTCATTTTCGGCAAGTAAATATATGATTTTGATGCTCTCACGGAGGAGAACACGAATCAACTTTGATATTCCAAATTGGACCAACGGGTCTCACCGAAAATCTTGCCAAAAGTGAGTCATTTACTCATTTTTTTCCAACAATCCCCCACATGAATGAAAATTGGGAGAAACATGAGACCGTGAGACACGAGACTTGGTGACCGTAAGACACAAGACCTGGTGATAAAGTTCGACAGTTGAAGCCTGCATAGGATAGGTAGGTATCACCCTTTGAACCTTCCCTTGTGAAAGCATATTTACTTTACTAGCTAACCAGTAGACATGTTGTCTTTGAACTGTTTTGTCATTTATGTAAACGATGATATATTCCACACAGGATTCTTCCTAATAAAATTTAGTTCTCATTATTATGTTCATTTTGGCTATGAACATATGCCTGGTTCTGTGATAGTTCTTAAGAATTGAGCCCCACACAATTCTCTTGGAAGCGGCCCCATTTCTCTCTCATATAGGTGATTTCTTATTACAAGTAACCCACATTACTTGGCTCGAACTTCGACATATAAGAATCATTAAAAGCTTATTGCTTATCTTTCATCCTTACGGGCATCACTGTTACATCATTGGAATGGATAGGAGGAAATACTCCCACAGTGATTTTATTAAGCCTTTACAATTAGGTTGTCCCTTTAAACCTAGATATTGGGATCTCCAGTCAATTAGGTTGGATTTTCTTTGTAATGACTTATTCATTCAAGGGCTTAAGTCTCATTCATTTCGATGACTTCCCAACTAACTCTCTATTTAACCCTTTGGTTAGCAGATCCGCAATGTTATCTTTTGACCTTACGTAGTCAATAGTGATAACTCCAGTTGAGAGTAATCGTCTTATGGTATTGTGTCTACGACGTATATGTCGAAACCTACTATTGTACATATTACTCTGTGCCTTTCCTTTGCTGATTGACTGCCACAATCTATGCAAATTGCTGGCATAGGTTTTGACCAACTTGGAATATCCTCTAAGAAGTTGCGCAACCATTTGGCCTCTTCACCACATTTATCTAGAGCTATAAACTCATATTCCATCGTAGATCTAGGTATAACTGTTTGTTTAGAGGATTTCCACAATATGGCAGCACCTCCCAATGTGTTTACATCAAAGACACTAAAGATAGTTATGTCATTTTTTATTAAGTTGAGTTTCAACTTCACTCTTATAGAAAACAAATTTCTCTATAGCTTCATCTTTACTTTTTAGCAAATACACATAACAGTATTTGGTGCTATTGTCGACAAAAGAAATGAAATACTTGTTGCCACCTCTAGTCTGTACAAGTTTTAAGTCACATACGTCACTGTGAATTAAATCAAGTGGTTCTGTGTTCCGTTCAATTGATTTAAACAATGACCTTGTCAATTTTGTCTCAACACAAGTTTCACACTTATATTTTGAATCAATGTGAAACTCGGGCATGCAATTCAAGTTAACTAGTCTTCGTAAACTATCATAGTTAATATGTACTAGTCTACCATGCCACAAATTAGAAGACTTAAGCAAATAAGTAGAAGAGTTTGCTTTATTCATTTTTGGTCTAACAACCATTACATTGAGTTTAAATATACCATCGGAAACATAACCTTTTCTGACAAACATTCCACTTTTTGGCAAAATAACTTTGTCTGACTCAAATACAATGCGAAAACCATGCTTATTCAAAAGCCACCCAGACACTAGGTTCTTGCAAATTTTCGACACATATAGCACATTGTTAAGAGTCAGCTCCTTTCCCAAAGGTCATCTTCAGAACCACATTTTCTTGACCTTTGATTTCAGAAGTTGCTGAATTTCCCATAAACAACTTCTCCCCATTTTCAATTGCTTCGAACGCAACAAATAGCTCCTTATCAGAGCACACATGTCTCGTAGCACCGGTGTCAATCAACCACTCTTTAGGGTTTGAACCCA